AAACTCGTGGCCTAGTTGTGGAGGCAAACATGTTAGCCAACTTATTATAAATGCCACGTGGCAAATAAAAGATGGAAATATGATCAAGGATTGTGTGAGCCTCAGTTAAAGTTCTCAGAAATGTGTCCCTGGAGAAAACAACAGGAGCTGTGGCTTAAAGGACGAGCAGAAAATCGGCCAGAAGGGAGGAAGGGATGGGTGCCTGGGTGGCGCAGTCTGTTAAAGTGCCTGGCTCTTGTTTTTGGCTCAGGTCGTGATCTCAAGGTCATGGGATCGAGCTCCGCATCAGGCTCCATGCTCAGCGTAGAGTCTGCTTTAGGTTCTCTCTCCCTTTGCCACTCCCCCCAGTTCTCCTATGCTCACTCTCCCTCTCTCCCAATCTAAAATAAATAAATAAATAAATCTTTTAAAAAAATAAAAAGAAGGGGTAAAGGGAAAGCATTAATCATAGAGGCAGAAAATACAACAGTCTGCACAGTGGGACTACTGTGCAGGTTCAGCTACGCTGGGGGAAAAAAGTACAAGGAGAAACTGGCAAGATCAGAGACTGAAAAAATAGGCCACACCAGGTAGTGAAGAGCTTACAGCACATGTAAGGAACTCGGATTCACATGGACACAGAGGTTACAGAAATGTTTGAGGGGGCACCGAGCATGATCAGAGTAGCATTTCAGTTAGACCATTCTGCGGTTGCACAGAAGAGCCAACTCGGGCTGTCTGGATCGGGTCAAAAGCTGATAAGAATAGTAGGCAGGGATGCAAAGAAGAGGTCTCAGAATCAAGAAATATTTAGGAGGTAAAATGGGCAGGACTTGGTGATTATTGGGGATATGGAGAATGAGAGAAAAAGAGGGAGAAAAAGAGAAGCGTAGCAAGAGAGGTTTAGGGATGGGAAGTTAATTAGCATAAGCCGATACTTGAGTGCATAGGTTCTGGACTCAGGCAGATAAGGGTTTATATCTGTTTTGTCACTTACTTGCTGTATGACTTTGGTAAAGTGACTGGAACTTCTTTAAGCTTCTGTTGCCTTTATAAGCAGAAATGATCTAAGAACCTACCTCACAGGGTCATTGTAAGAACTACGTGAAATCATGTGTGTAAAGTGCTTAGGACAGTGCCTGCCGTATCAGAAACACCCCCGTTAATTAGTAAGGAATTTGAAAACTATTATCTACCTACCTGCATCGGCAGTCACGTCTACCTTTTGTATTACTATGGATGAACTGTACATGCTTCCAGGGAAGGCCAGCCCCTCCAATTGTTCACGAGAACCTATCCCTTCTTGCCTACATCATCCCATCAATTCTTGGCTCTCTCCCCTACAACGTCCGTTCTGCCCTCTCTACTCACTCCTAGAGCATCCCCAAGTACAGTCAACTCTCCCATTAAAAAATATAAAACTTCCGGGCGCCTGGGTGGCTCAGTCGTTAAGCGTCTGCCTTCGGCTCAGGTCATGATCCCAGGGTCCTGGGATCGAGTCCCACATCGGGCTCCCTGCTCAGCGGGAAGCCTGCTTCTCCCCCTCCCACTCCCCCTGTGTTCCTGCTCTCACTGTCTCTCTCTGTCAAATAAATAAAATCTTTTAAAAAAATAAAATAAAAAATAAAAATATATATATATATAAAACTTCCTCTTGGCTGAGCTTCCCTCTGGCTACCAGCGTGTTTGTTTCTTTTCCTTTGCAGCAAACCTCCCTCCTCCACTCTCTTCTAAATCTCTAACTGAACTTTGTCCTCCCTAACTCCACTACAGGCACGCTTGCTCCACTGCCAACCATCTCTGTGTTAGAGCCAATGTAGATCTCATTGTTCGATCCAATGTGCACAGCTTGCTTGACCCATGAATTGCATTAGCCATCCTTACTCCCTTCCCCTCAAGAAACACTTTCATCACGTGATTCCCAGTGACCAGACTTTCCGCAATTTCTTCCGTCTCTCTGGCCATTCTTTGCCAGGACCCTTTGTTGGTTATTCTTCATCTTTGCAGCCTCTAACTATGCTCAAGGGCTCATCTGTCTTCTCTCTACGCTCCTTAGCATTCTCACCAAGTCTCATGGCTTTAAATAGCATCCTTATGCCATTAACCCCAAAATCCGGACCTCTACTCTGGACCAGTCCCCTGAGGCTCCAGACTCCCATGTCAAACTGTCCACTCAACACCTCCACTTGGAAGACTAACATGCCTTTCAAGCTCAGCGTACCTAAAACTGAACTCCCTCCAAAATATGCTCCCTCCAAAACCTGCTCCTCTCCAGTGTTCCCTCTATCAGTAAGTAGGAACTCCATTCTTGGTGTAGCTTCTAGCTAGGACTGAGCAGTAGCTTGAGTCAGACAACCCTCTTACAGGAATAACTGTAAAGGCCGAAACTAAATCTAAAAACAAAAATAAAAACCACACAGACTGAAGGCACTGGAGAACCAAACCAGTGAGGACATGAGGGACTGGGGTCCCGGGGAGAAAGAAAATTCATAGGGATACAGAACTTCTCCATTGCTTTTCTCCTCGGGCATTTGCTGAGTTTCGGAGCAGGGCATTTAGGGGCAAGCAGAAGGCAGTGGTCAGAGGTGTCAGGAGTCTTTCAGATCTGGGCAAATAAAAATTATAGTTGAGAACTACAGAGAGAACTTGAAGGGACAAGACCCCAGACAAAGGGGGATCACAGAGAAATAAGCCTGACAATTTGTTTGGCTTTTATCCTTAAGGCATTTGCTGAATTCTAAGTGGCAAGGACACTAGAAATCAAGAAACCAAAACACTGCAAAGTGGCTAAAAAGGTAAGCAAACCTTTCAATAACCTCGCAGACTTGGGAATACAAAAATTGGAGCACAAGGTCCCCAGTGATGGGTACCTGTTGAACATCCCAGGCTTTCTGCTGAGACTCCTAAAGGCTTATGCCCTGAGATCAGGGCAAACCAGAAAGCAATCAGCCCTCTCAAAGCCTGAATCCTTGATTAAAGGTCATCTACTCTAATTGCCAGCCAGAATAAAATTAAATCCTTCAGAAAGAGAGAACATCAGCCAGAGCCTCTCCACAATTTTTTCTACACAATGTTTAACATCTCATCAAAAACTTTAGAGTGATCTTTAACTCCTTTTCTTCTCTAGTGTTCCATTTCTAATCCATGTGTAGCTACCTTCAAAACAGAATCAGGATCTATCTGACTCCATCTCACCCCTCCATTGCCTGGTCCCCAATCCAAAACACTTTCTCAGCCAGGCTGACTGGTTCGATTTGGTCTCTCTAGGCTTCTGCTTTGCCCCGCGTCCGTCTATTCTCAACCCAGCAACTAGAATAGGAATGCTTTTTTAAAAAATTAAATTATGTCAGGGCGGCTGGGTGGCTCATTGCGTTATGTGTCTGCCTTCGGCTCAGGTCATGATCTCAGGGTCCTGTGATGGAACCCCATGTCTTCAGGCTCCAAGCTCAGCAGGGAGTCTGCTTCTCCCTCTCCCTCTGGCCCTCCCCCCCTGCTCCTGCACGCTCTAATTTAAATAAATAAATAAACAAAGTCAAGCTCCTATTCAAAACCCACTGGGGTTTGTTTTTTTTTCTTTTTTAAAGATTTTATTTATCTATTTGAGAGAGAGAGAACGAGAGATGGAGAGCATGAGAGGGAAGAGGGTCAGAGGGAGAAGCAGACTCCCTGCTGAGCAGGGAGCCCGATGTGGGACTCGATCCCGGGACTCCAGGATCATGACCTGAGCCGAAGGCAGTCGCTTAACCAACTGAGCCACCCAGGCGCCCCACCCACCGGGGTTTTTAACCTCAAGAGTAAAAGTTTGGCTTTACACTGACTTCATTACCTGTGACTTCATTTCCTAATGTTCTCCTCTGCTCCACCCACCCTAGCCTCCTTAGTCTTACTTGAACACACCTGGTTTGTACCTGCCTGGAATGTTAGTCTCGAGTTCCACTGCTCCACCTCCTTCACATCTTTACTCAAATGTCACCTTCTCAGTGAAGCCTTTCCTGACCAATCCAAAGTCTCTAGGTCCCCCTCCCTCTCTGACACTTCCAAGCCTGCATTTTATCCTTAGCTCTTATAATTATCTAACATACATATTTTACTCAGAGTTCTCCAAGGACCTTGGGCTTTTCAGCCTTTGATCAAGCCATTCTGAATGTACATCCCCAAGACTCTCACCAGTCAAAACACTATCACCCATCAAACAGTATTAAATGTCACTTTCTCCTGACATGTTAGGATTATTTATACCATACCTACAAACTGGCTTTAGATCTTAATCTTCTAAGTGCAGGAGGAATCTAGATCTTAATATAATGGCTCATCATTTACCAGACACAGTTCTAAGTATTTTATACTTACTAACGCTTTTAACCCTCACGACACCCCCTAACAGATAAAATTCTACTATCCCCGTTTTACAGATCAAGAAAATGAAGCCCAAAAGCCTGCCAGAGGCTGTGGGCTTGGTACACTGCAGAACCTGGATTCAAATCCAGACAGTACTTAGCTGAGCTGAAGGAGTGAATGCAAGTGTAAATAACTGATCATTCGGGGATACATACAGTTCACTTACACAAACTATAATATTAACATTGCTAATACTAAAACCAAAGCATCTGCTCTTCTAAGCACAGACCCACCCCATGACGCTTCGTTCTCCAGAGTTTGGGGCCTGGGAGATTAAGATACAGGAGGCCTTATAGACTCAACAAAGCACCCACCCCTTTGCCAAAATTAGATGTCTGCGGGGCGCCCCTGTTGCTCGTGCGCCCGAGGATCCGCTGAGGTGCTAGCAACCGAGCGTAAGAGGAAAAGGAAGGCGGGAAATGGAGACACTGCTGCGCAGCGCGGCGGCAGCCCGCAGCCCGAAGTGGAGAGGTGGCGGTGCTGGGAGACATCAATAAGCCCTCGCCGCGCCCTCGCACGTAAAAGAGCTGGGAGCCGGGGGCCACGTGTGCGCCATCACAGGTGAGCAGCCCGGAGGAGCCGCGCGGCGGCAGTGGCGGGAGCAGAAGCAGCCGAGGGCGCCCCTTAAGGGACGGGAGCACGTGGGCCTGGAAGAATGGCGCCGACACCCGCCCGGCAAAGCCCTCTCCAAAGTGGGAACGAGGACCGCCGCGGTGCTTGCCCAGTTCCCCGAAGCCCCCCAAGCCCGACTCGGTCAGGAGAACGCTCCTTAACCCCTAGGCTCACCGGCCGGGGAGGCGCCAATGGGCGGAGTCAAGGGCCGGAAGTGCCCCGGAGGGCCGGCCTCCCCGCGAAAACCGCCGGCCGGAACTGCCAGGAGGTCCCGCCCCCAGGCGGAACTCCGGGTTGCTGGGCAACCGAAGTGGGCGCCTTCGGGTGGCTCGGTGTTCCCTGGAACAAGCAGAGTGTCGCTCCCACCTCTTGTCCTGGCAACCTCGCGCCCCGCCCGCCTTCCTTCTTGCCGCCTCTCCTTGCGTCGCGGAATCCCTGCCCTTGGCACTACGCACACGTCTCCGGCTCCCACTACCACTTAGCGCCCACCTGCTTGAAAGCCAGTCTCCACCGGAAGCGAAGCGGCCCGGCCCCAGGCGTGGCTTCCAGGCTCACAGACCGCACCTCCCCAGCCATGGGCACCTACACCTACACCAGCCGGCCCCGGGCCCTGCCCTGCCAGCGCCGCCGTTACCGGGACAGCACAATGCAGCCGTGAGTGAGCAACCAGCCCCTGTGTGATCTCCACCTGCCCCAGTCCCGGGGCCGCGGATCGCGGCCCCCTTCGCCCTGGCAAACCTGCCTGTGCTGCTTTCTCCCCTCCACACCCTGCCGAAATAAAATTTCTTCCCTAAAGAACCCTCCCGTGGCGTGGAGGAATGAAGCAAGAAGGGGCACGGGCGGCCCGGCCTCCCTTAGTGAACTTTTAGTGATAATGAGCTGCGGGCGGGATCGATTAACATGTACAGGAAACCCACTGGTTTCACAACCTTTGAGTCAACTACTGTTGGCCAACTATATGCACCTCACTAGGGGCATTCATGTACATTTTCTTCCTTAGTCCACAGTACTGTGAAGTTGGTTTAATAACTCCATTATGCAAATGAAGAAACAGGTACTAAGGTGTCAGACGCGATAGCATGTCCGGAATAACAGCCAAGCAAAGCTCTTTCCACACCAGTCTTTGGTCAGGAATCAGGTTATCCTTCCATGCTGGACCCCAAATGGTATTTTTACATTACTGAGTATTTATTTGCAAATATTCAAATATCCACTTCATTATTATCCATAATAATGTTTACGGGCCTTTCTAAAGCTTGTAGTTCTTTCTATAAGCCTCAAATTTTGGAACCAGCCAAACTTCCCAAGAATGCGGGCTCCATGGAAGCTGGAAACTTTGTGTCTTTTGTCCACCTGGGATTGTGCCTGACATATAGGAAGCACTTACACAAATTGTGGAATTAACTGATTGAACACATCAGCCAAGTAACTCTTGATGCGTTATTTCAAACACTAAGTCTAAATTCATAATTATCTTATGGCAAATAAGGACCTTCTTAAGTAATGCCTGTCATTTTAAAGAAACCAAAATGGAAAATTTAAATTGTTTTTTAAAGATTTCATGTATTTATTTGAGAGAGAGAGGGAGAAAGAGACAGAGATAATGACAGAGATAAAGAGAGAGCACCAGCAGGGAGGAAAGGGAGAAGCAGGCTCCCCACTGAGCAGGGAGCCCAGACGCAGGGCTCGATCCCAGGACCCTGGGACCCTGACCATAGCCAAAGGCAGATGCTTAACTGACTGAGTCACCCAGGCACCCCGGAAAATTTAAAGTTATAGAGGGATTATTTATATTATAAAAGGATTCCATTTAAAAACACTTTCAGAAACACTTTCTGGTGGCTTTAAGTAGTTGCTCACAAATCATTCCTATTAAATTACACCAACAAATGAAATAAGAATCAATGCTGGTTCATTAGGAATGATTTTTTTTTATAGCTAGTTGATAAGCAAGTTGCAGGACCTTGCTTATATTGAAGCAATCTGTTGATTAAAGATTGGAAGAAGTGTGTGTGTGTATTTGATTTTTAGTTTAAAATTATCCTTAGTGGTGATTTTCAATTTATAAAAGTAATATATGCTTGTTCTTATATTACTCTTTTACACCTCCGTACTTGAGCATATGTACATTTTTATAGGAGGTTTATCTCCAAAATTGAATCATACTACACATATTTATCTGCAATTAGCTTCCTCCCCTTTTTTTATAACCTCTAATTCTTTTTTTTTCTAATTTCTTTACATATACATACATATTTAATTTTATATAAATAGACTCCTATGGTTCATGCTTGGGTACATTCTTAGTGCCCAACCCCCTTCCCTTGTAAACTTGCTCTTTCCCTCCTGCCCCCAAGGTAAACCTTGTTAATGCCCTTACGTGAATGTTTCTGGACTTTTCTCCACACTCACATGTTTATGTATGAATATATAAATATATACATACAAGTACACAGGGTTTGTCTACCTCATAGCGATGCTAACATTATACACAATTCTCAGCATCTTCCTTTTCTCACTTAATTCTTTGCAAAAATCCCTCCAATTATTTTTAATAGCATGATATCCCCTGGCGTATGGATGTACTACGCATTCTTAAAATTTTCCAATTTTGACAGGTATTCTGTTTGCTTCAGGTTTTTACCACAAAGAGGAAGGTTTCAATAAACAACTTTATGTGCTGGCCTTTTTATTTCTATGAAACAGATTCCTGGGATGGGATTGTTAGGTCATGTATATTTTTAACATGAACAGATGGAACAATATGCTGTTCTTTAGTAATGTTTAAATATATCTTTTTTCCCTACATCCTCACCAGCAATAGGCATTATTGGATTTTTCTTTCTTTTTGGCTTTTGACAGTGTGAAATCAAAACCACAATTTTTCCTCATTATTATGTTAATTAGCACTAGGGGGTTTTAATCAAGTAAGTGTCCTTTAGATTTTTTTCTATTTTAAAAGATCATTGGGTACAATGTATAGGACAGATTCAGAGAAAAATGTTGTTACAGACAGTTAAGAGACTCTTGCAGCAGTCCAGGTAAAAGACAGTGGTGGCAGTGAGCGATGGAGAGATGTGAAAACGATTTGGGGAGTAGAATCAGTATGCTGGATACAAACAGTGAGGAAGAGAGAAGAATCATGGATGACTCCCACACTTCTAGATTAAGCCAATTGGGTGGTTACTGGTACCATTTAATGAAATAGGGAACACTAAAGAAGTAACAAGTTGGAGTGGGAGAATGATAATGAGTTCAATTTTGAGGTGGCTTTTGAGACATCTCAGTGAGATGTCACTGGGCATATCAATTGGATATACATTCCTGGAGCTCAGAGGAGAGTTCTGAGCCAAAGGTAAAATAAAATTCGGAGTTTTAGGTATATGGATTATGAGTAAAGCCTTGAGAATGGGTGAGTTCAGGGAAGGGCAAGAGAAGACCTAGCCCAGAGGAAATCCTCCAGTCCTGGAGGAGCCAACAATCACAGGCTGAGAAAGAGAAGTCAAAGAAGTCCTAGAAAAACAATCCGAAGACTATGGTGGTATCACAGCAGCTAGAAAGAGAGTGCTTCAGTGAAGGAGTAGCCAGCTGAGCTAACCACTGCCCTGAGATCACGTAAGATGAGCAGTGTTACATGCCTGGTTTTTAAGTAACATGAAGTCAGGTTATCCAACAGTGGTTTTAATGTATGATAAAAAAGCAACTTACTACCCATCTCAAAATCATTTCTGGTAGAGCACTATTATTGGTATAGGTCAATATTTGGTTTCATAGCCATACATAGTATATCATTTAAAGAACTTTGAATGAAAACATCAACTGTATGGTTTTCACTACTGATAGTCTGATCCTCAAAATTAAAATTTTATTAAAATGTAAAACATACCTTTGAGTTTAAAGAAACAATGAGATAATGGACTTATTTTATTTCTTAAGCCTGATTCTGTGAATTCTTTCAATCCTTGAATCCAACTACTGTCAGTACTTTAAGGCAGGCCCCTTTCCTACTGTCCATTTTCACGTTTGTCAAGTAGTCTAACAGATTTACAGCCCTAAATCCAGCTCTACCATGTACTAGCTAGGTAACCTAGGGCACATTCCTTTCTGAATCTCCTTCCTCTTCTGTCAGATGGAAATCATAGTCTCCAACTTGAAGCTTATTGTGAGTAATAAATAAAATATGTGAAGGGCCTGGCATGTAATAAGCATTCCATAAATGGTAGTCATTTGCCAGACTAAAATTGTGCCAAAACAAAAATCTATTTTCATAACATTTGTATCTTAGTTTAAATCCAATTAAAAATGAGTTAACTGCATAGACCAACACTATTACAATAGTTATTTAGATTTGCTATCTTACAGAGCTGAAGAACCTATGCATTATGGAAACATAATGTATGACAGAAGGGTGATCCGAGGCAATACTTATGCTCTACAGACAGGACCACTGGTAAGCATAATTTGAATATTCTAATACAGAGCTTTTCAAACTACTTGTGCTGAAGGACCAGTTTGTTTTAGTTTCTAATTTGCTTCAGACTAAAACAGTTATAAAATACTGATAGATTACTAGAAAAATTAAATCTAAAAAAAAAAAAAGACATTCTAAATACAAGGCTGATGGTGGGTGCCAGGGACTAAGGGAGCGGGGGAATAGGGAATTAGTGTTTAATGGGTACAGAGGTTCAGTTTTGCAAAAAGAAGAGTCTGAAGATGGATGGTGGTAATGGTTGTACATCAATGTGAATGTACTTAATGCCACTGGATTCTACACTTAAAAATGGCTAAGATGGTAAGTTTTATTGTACTTTACCACAATTAAAAACAATAATGTTAAAAATACAGAAGCCCCAATATTTTATTAGATTAACAGAACTTTGTAAAACTGCTCTAAAAGCTTATAAACTTTTATTCTCAATTTCTATAATTAAATTTTTACAGACCAGCTTAAACAGTTCACACACAACACTTTGAGTAGCACTGGTATAACATATTTAGGTTTGTTTAAATTATTTCATACTATAATACTATCTTCATTATTTAATCAAAAATTATTTTCTTTAATTCACTCAACAAATACTTATTGAGGGCGCCTGGGTGGCTCAGTTGGTTAAGCGACTGCCTTCGGCTCAGGTCATGATCCTGGAGTCCCTGGATGGAGTCCCGCATCGGGCTCCCTGCTCAGCAGGGAGTCTGCTTCTCCCTCTGACCCTCCCCCCATCTCATGTGCTTTCTCTCTCATTCTCTCTGTCTCTCAAATAAATAAATAAAATCTTTAAAAAAAAAAATATTTATTGAGTTTTAGGTCCTGTGCTGAGTACCTGGGATACAGAGATGATTAGGGTGTGGCATGATATTAAAAGTGATGATTTCTTGGCACTGAAATGAAATATAGTTAAGTTAATCTGTAAACACTGTATGATATATACATGCCCACCACCACATGGTGATATATGGAATATTAGACATTCTGAAGCACATACATCAAAGCCATCGAGAAAACTCACTAAAAATATTGTGTGTTTCAGCCATACCCTGGATCTACTGCATTAGAACCTTCAAGGGTTGGACACAGGAATGTGCATCATTAATAAACTTCTCTAGGCAGTCTGGTACAGCCAGTTCACGGACCAACATTTGAAAACAACAGCTCAAACGTGTGATATAGATACGTGATTCAACATCTTGTGGCAGTAGCAATAAACCCGGGCACACCTAGAACTAAACTAAAAAGGAGAATCACCTTTTTTTTTTTAGTTTTTTTTAAATTAATATTGTGATGATTTGATATACCTTTTTTTTTAGTTCTTTAGTCAGTTATTCAACAACTTATCTAAAAACTCTATACTGAGGGGCGCCTGGGTGGCTCAGTCGTTAAGCATCTGCCTTCGGCTTAGGTCATGATCCCGGGGTCCTGGGATCGAGCCCCGCATTGGGCTCCCTGCTCTGCGGGAGGCCTGCTTCTCCCTCTCCCACTCCCCCCGCTTGTGTTCCCTCTCTCACTGTCTCTCTCTCTGTCAAATAAACATATAACATCTTAAAAAAAATTTTTTTTAAACTCTATAATGAGACTTCCAGTTCCAGAAAGCAGGAATTTGCCAATAGCACAAGCAAACACAGGAAGACTCTGGAAATGGAAAGAAGGAAGTGGACTGGCTAGGGACCTCAGGATTTGAGTGACATAGTGATGAGTTCCCTAAGTCTTCTTATATCCCATTCAGAGCACTGGAGAAGCTTGCAACCCAGAACAACCAATAGGCACAAACCTGCTCCCTTTATCCAAAAGACTGCAAAAGGGTTACCTAGCAGAACAGAAATCTTTTTACTACCCCTCCTCCAGCCAAACTCCAATGGAAAAACTGTCCTGCCCCTTCCAGTGGAGTCAGAAGACGGAGCTGGGGAACTGGACTTCCATCCCCACATGGCAGCAACAATGCAGTACTAATCGGTGCTCTGATTCACTCACTGAGGTGGTATCAACAAGGGTAGAGCAGGAAGCTGACCTTCCACTCTCACCCAGGGGCAGTGAGATGGTAAGAGATGATACAAGTTGGTACCCTACTTTTCCTGGGGTGATGGCAACAGAGCTAGGAGGGAGCTGAATTTTCAATCCTATCTGGCAGCAACAAAGCGAAACAGGTGAGATAAAGCAGTGTGAGTCAGAGCTCCACTCCTCTGTACTCCAACACTGGTGTCAGTGGATCAAAGCAAGGGTCTGAAATACTACCCCCACCAGGCACCAGTAAGTTGATAAAAGTTGGTCCTCTGCTTTCACATGGGGCCTAGCAGGATGCTGAACTTCCATCTCCACCCATGCCTGCATGCTAAAACAAAAAGGGATGACTTCTTACTAAAAAAGATTAAGATCCAGGGGCGCCTGGGTGGCTCAGTCGTTAAGTGTCTGCCTTCGGCTCAGGTCATGATCCCAGGGTCCTGGGATCGAGCCCTGCATCGGGCTCCCTGCTCCGCAGGAAGCCTGCTTCTCCCTCTCCCACTCCCTCTGCTTGTGTTCCTGCTCTTGCTCTCTCTCTGTCAAATAAATAAATCTTAAAAAAGATTAAGATCCAGAATCTCACATCCTAATACCCAAAGTTTCCAGGATACAAAAAAAAAAAAAAAATCACTCATCATACCACAAACCAGAGCAGTCACAGCTTGAATGGGAAAAATCCATCAAGAGATGACAACAGCAAGATGACTCAGATGTAGGAATTACCTGACAAGGATTTTAAAGCAGTAATCATAAAAAAATGCTTCAATCAAAAGTGAATAATTATGAACGTTCTTAAAACAAATGGAAAAAAATATTAGCTAAGAAATGGAAGATATACAAATGAGCCAAATGGGGGCACCTGGGTGGCTCAGTCGGCTAAGCATCTGCCTTCAGCTCAGGTCATGATCCCAGAGTCATGGGATCAAGTCCCACATCAGGCTCCCTGCTCAGCAAGGAGTTTGCCTCTCCCTCTCCCTCTGCCTCTCCCCCTGCTCCTTCTCTGTCTTGCTCACTCTCAAATAAATAAATAAAAATTTTAAAAAAAGAACCAAATGGAAAATATCTAAAAAGTCATGGGACAGATTCATCAGAAATGACATAGGGAACAATCAATGAAGTCAAAGCCAAATCAATGGAAATTACCCAGTTGGAACAACAGATAGAAAACAGACCACAAAAAAAAAAAAAAATAGCAAAGCCTCACAGCTGAGGAGCAATAACAAAATGTCTAACATTCATGTTATCTGAGTCTCAGGAAAAAAGGCATGGGACTGAAAAAATATTTGAAGAATAGTGTTTGAAAATTCCACAAATTTGGCAAAAGACAAAAACCTATAGATCTGAGAAGTCAGTTGAACCCCAAGCAGGAAAAACCTAAAGAAATTCACACCAAGACACATCAAAATCAAATTTCAAAACTAAAATCAAAAAATCTTGATAGGAGCTATAGACACATGACACATTACCAGAAGGGGAACAATTATTTGAATAACTGGGTTCCTCATTTGAAACAATGGAGACCAGAAAAAGTGGCATAGTATTTTTCAAGCCCTGAAAGAAAAGGACTATCAAGACCTAATTCTAATCCATTGAAAATATTCTTCAGGAATAAAGAGGAAATCAAGTCATTCTCAGATGAAGGAAACCTAGAGGATTTGCCACCAGCCGACTTACCCTTAAAGAATAGCTAAAGGAAGCTCTCCAAGTAGAAAGGAAATGATAACAGAAGGAGGCTTGGGACTTAAGAAAGGAAGATAGAACAATGGAAAAGGTGAAAATAGGGGTAAATACAATAAACTGTCTTCTGGGTTTTAAAAATTGTGTTTGATCGTGAAGCAAAATTATAACATCATCTGATGTAGTGCTTAATATATGTAGGTAAAATATTTAAGATGATTAGATTTTTATTATATTTTAAAAGTAAGGAAAATAAGGGTATCTAAATGGGAGTGAAGTTTCTGCCTTCCACTTGAAGTGGTAAAATGTTGATATTAAATGTTGACTGTGATCAGGTACATAGTATATTGTAAAACCTGGAACAACTATTTTTTTAAAAACTATGGAAAGAGATATAGTCAAAAGGATTACAGATAAATAAAAAAAGAATTCTAAAAAATGTTTCAACTAATTCACAGGAAGGAAAGAAAAAGAAAACAGAAAAATTAAAAACAGAACAAATAGCAAAAAGTAAAATGGCAGACAGCCCTAATATGGCAAAGTCTTCTTTAAATATAAATGGTCTAAATAAGCCAATTAAGAGACAGAGAGGCAGAGTAGATTTAAAAAAAAAAAAAAAGTGACCCAACTGTATTCTGTCTACAAGAAACTCATTTCAATTATAGTGGTGTAGGTAGGTCAAATGTAAAAGGAAGGGAAAAGATATACAAGTTAAACATTAATTTTTAAGAAGTAGTTGTGGCTATCTAAATAACAGATAAAGTAGACCTAAGAAAAAACAATATTACCAGGGACAAAGAAGGACATTACATAATGGTAAAAAGGTCCCAATATACCAAGAAATCTAGCAGTCTTAAGTGTATATGGATCAAACAACAGAGCTTCAAAATACATGAAGCTAAAATTGAAAGGAGAAATAGACAAATCCACAATTTTAGTTCGGGACTTCAACATCCTTCTCTCAAAAAATCAGCAAGAATGTAGAAGAACTACACAACACCACCAACCAATAGGTTGTAATTTACATTTATACAACACTTCACCTGACAACAACAGACTACATATGCTTTTTTTTTAAAGATTTATTTATTTTAAAGAGGGAGCATGAGCAGAGGTAGAGGGGTGCAGAGGGAGAGACAACCTCAAGCAGACTCCACGCTGAGCACAGAGTCCAATGGTGGGCTTGATCTCATGATCCTGAGATCATGACCTGAGCCGAAACCAAGGGTCAGATGGTTAACTGACTGCACCACTCAGGTGCCCCAGAATACATATGGTTTTGAGGCACCTGTAGAATATTGACCAAGATAGAACATATCCTGGGTTACAAAGCAAATCTCAATATATTTAAGATATTTGAAATCATACCATGATGGAATAATGTCTCTTTCAAAATTTCAAACTAGAAATCAATAATAGATGATAACAGGAAAATCTTCAAACACTTGAAAATTAAGCAGCATGCTTCCAAATAATCCATAGAGGAAGTATTAAAGGGAATTTTGAAAGACTACTCAGGACTAAATGAAGATATAACAAATGAAAATTTGTGTTTCATGCCAGAACAGTGCTGAGATGGAAAAAAGCTAAAAAGGAAAGACTTCAAATCAATAATCTAAGCTCCTACCTCAATAAATGGGGAAAAGATGAGAAAAATAAACCCAAAGCAAGCAGAAGGAAGAAAATAATAATGATAAAAGCAGAAATCACTTACATTGAAAACAAAGCAATAGGAGCCCCAGGGTGGCTCAGTTGGCTAAGCATGGGACTCATGATTTCAGCTCAGGTCATGATCTCAGGGTGGTGAGTTGGAGCCCCAAGTCAGGCTCTGTGCTGGGTGTGGAGCCTACTTAAGATTCTCTCTCTCTACCCTCCTACCCCCACTTGCACGCACTCTCTCAAAAAAAAAAAAAAGTACGGGCATCTGGGTGGTTCAGTCAGTTAAGCATGGGACTCTTAGTTTTAGCTCAGATCATGATCTCATGGGTCCTGAGATTGAGCCCCTCTTCAGGCTCTGCGCTTAGCGGGGGGTCTGCTCAAAGATTCTCTCCCTCTGCCCCTCTCCCCCCCATGCATGTACACTTGCATGCACACGCTCTCTCTCAAATAAATAAATCTTTTTTTAAAAGTATGTAAAAACAATAGAGAAAATCAATGGACCCAAAAGCTGGTTCTCTGAATAAGATCAATAAAATTGATAAGCCTCTAGCAAGACTATCAGAGAAAAAAAGAGAAAGAAGAGACAAATAGCAAATACCAGAATGACTTTCAGAGGGTATAGCCATAGATCCTGCAACCATGAAAAGATTAAACACCATTTCTTATCTTTGAAAAGATCAATAAAATTGATAAACCTCTAGCAAAACTAACAAAGAAAGAAAAAGAGGAATGCCTTGGTGGCTCAATAGGTTAAGCATCTATCTCTGGCTCAGGCTGTGATCCTGGGGTCCTAGGATCAAGCCCCACGTCTGGCTCCCTGCTCAGCTTGGGGTCTGCTTCTCCCTCTGCCCCGACCCTGCATGCCCCCCTCACCTCTCGTTCACACACTCTCAAATAAATAAAATCTTAAAAAAAAAAAGGAAGTAAAAGAGAAGAAACAAGCAAATATCAGGGATATAACTAGAGATTCTGCATCTATTAAAAGAGTAAAAGGATCATAATAGAATATTACAAACAAATCTATACATATAAATTCAACAAACTAAATGAAATGAGCTAATTCTTCAAACTATAAACTACCAAAACTCACCTAACATGAAATAGATATTCTGAAGTGTCTAATAACTATTAAAGAAATTGAATTTCTAATTTAAAAGCTTTCAAAAAAGAAATATCCAGGCCCAGATAGTTTCACTGGAAAATTCTACCAAACATTTAAAAAAATTCTCATTGATTTTATACAATTTTGCACAATCTCTTCCAGAAAATAAAAGAGGAAGGAACACTTCAGGCAATCAGACAAAGACACTAAAAATAAAACTATAGACCAATAGCTATCATGAATGTCAATACAAAAATCCTCAACAAAATATTAGCAAATAGAATCCAGTGGGGATTCTCTGCTTGAGATTCTCTCTCTCCCTCTCCTGCTCCCCCTCCCCACCCCACTCATGTGCTCGCTCTCTCTCTCTCAAAAAAATCAATCTATGATATCATCACCACTTCAGAAAAACTATGCATTTATTTTCTTTTTAAGATTTTATTTATCCATTCATGAGAGACAGAGAGAGAGAGAGAGAGAGAGGCAGAGGGAGAAGCAGGCTCCCAAGGAGCAGGGAGCCCGATGCGGGACTCGATCCCAAGACCCCGGGATCATGACCCGAGCCGAAGGCAGACGCTCAACCATCTGAGCCACCCAGGCGCCCGAAAAACTATGCATTTAAATGACAATGGCCATTGTATTACGGAAATGGGATTATGGGATATTTTAAATAAATTTTAATGTTGCCACATTGTTATTTCAATTAAAATGTTTTTACAATTCTAATTTTAAATATTAAATTTTTTCTTGCAAAGTACTTTCATATTTCCCCTCTTTTCATATTTACCTGGAGATAAGACAGGTTAGCTAAAGGAAATGAACATAGAATGAGATACAGATATGAAATCAAGGACCTCCAAATATTGAAGGACTACTGTAAATAATTATATATTTTAACCCTTAATCAGCTATTGTTTTGTGCACTGGGACAGGCTTCGTTTGGACTGAGAATATTTTCTTTGTGAGCTAATTTATTTTTTCAGGAATTTTATCTAAAAGAAATTCAGACTTTTTTTTAAATCCTAGTGCTTTTCAATTCCTTAACTACACATTAAAATGTATTGTAACCGAGTAATTCTATAGTATACTTGGTTACTAGGAATCCAGGCAATTCATGGTAAAAATGCTTGAATGATGAAAAACAATTCATTAGATAGGATTCTGCAGCTGTTTATTCTAGTCGTCAGTCATACTTTGAAGTTACTTATGTGCTTCATCAGATAACTTTATAATTACCTGACAAAGTTCAAACAGAACTTTAATCATGAAGTCACTGATAATCAGGAAGCATTATATGACAGATGCTCTTATGCTATCCAGGAATCACTTCTGGAATGGCAGTTCTGTATGCTTTGAGAAATATCTTCTAAATTTTAGAAGCCTTTTCTGTCACTCAGCCTGGGCAGCCTGATCCTATAGAGGTTCAGAGACAGCAGCAGGCTAAGAGGAGGGCTCTTGCCAGAAAACGAGCCCAAGAACAGCTCAGACCACGAACCCCCGAACCCGTGGAAGGCAGAAAGCACGTGGATGTGCAAACAGGTACGTGACCATGCCACGGGCATCGTGGCTCCTGGGTTTGCTCAGTTTTCTAAGTCAGTTCATTTTTTATTTGGCATAGTATCTGTTATGCTATGCAGTACTGCCCCAGTTACATGGTTGGAGGAGTGCATTCATTAAACAAATTCATAGACTATATTTTATTATTATATTGAGTACAGCTAGAGGTATGAGATGGGGTTAAAAAAGAATTTTATGACCAAATTAATTCTCAGCCCTTTTCACATACTTTTTTCTCAAACTGGGATTATTTCTCACTTTTTCTTTTATACCCCAACATGAATCACTGCTGGACCTATAGGAGAAGAGAGCAATGTAGTTCTATTTTGGCATTTTATTTCTCTTGAGAGGCCTGAACTCATCCAGATCTGAGTCCTCCATCTCTCTCCCCACAGCCTCTCTCTTCTTTTATTCTCCTTTCACTGCACACATTCCCCAAGGCCACACAGGCTTGTTCGGCCACTGCTAGGCTTTCTTACTTGTCTGCTGTTCTCAGCTAGGGGAGGCGTACCTAGACCTCTAGGGTCGAGCTGTGTTGTTGTCAGAATCTTGATAATCAGGCAACACTTGGTGTTTTCCTTAGATTGATATAACTATTCAGGATTCACCTTGCATCTTGCCAAGATGGTGAGTGGCTTTATCGTTATTGCTAGGTAGTTAGTACAAAAAGAAGTGAACCATTCCACACATTTCCCTCCTACCTTGAGGCCAAGTCTAGAATGTGTATATGTCTGTATTTAGCCACTGTAGCTGTAATTCTACATGAGCTAAATTTTAGTGTTTCTTTATACCATCAGAATATTAAGTTTTCCTATATCTCAGAGCCTATTCCAGTCTTCTACCTGTGTATCTCCTTTATTATTAAAGACTCCTTGTGACAAATAATTATGATCCCTTTTACAGATAAAGAAACTAAGGCTCTAAGAAGATATAACTTGACTAGGTCCTATGTTCAACATCTGACTCCAGTTCTCATGTTCTTTGCATGATACCACACTGCCCTTGCCTCACATATATTATTCCTAAGGTGAAATTTGTTTTCATGTATCTGTTTATAATCTATAGCCTAAAGGGAACATCAAGTAACATAGTGACATGGTGCCTAATTTTTTAAATATTCAGGAATTTTGAAATCTTTATACATTTACTATCTTAGGACTCAGTTATAGAGATGGATTATTAACTTTCCATCCCCAATCATACCTTGCATCTTACATACCTCTAAGCTTCATGTTCTTCTTTGGTTCCATTTTCAAGTACAAAACTCAGTGCTTCCTCAACATCCCATAAATGTCCTAGCCTGACTGACTCTGTGATCTTCCAAATACATAAAACTGCTTAATACAGTATGTGAATTTAATCCCACACTTGAGCGCTTCTTTTCTGATCCATTTAATTCTGTTTTGTAGAAGCTAAAGTTTCAATACACATATATGCTTGAAATAGACAAGAATTTCAAACTCAATGTATATGGTATTCTCTTAGAAATATACCTTGAAGAAATTGCTGACCGCATAATAGAAGTTGATATGGAATGCCAAACAGATGCATTTTTGGACAGACCACCAACACCACTCTTTATTCCTGCCAAAACTGGCAAAGATGTGGCCACCCAAATACTAGAAGGAGAGGTATAGTACATTATTTGGACTTCCTTCTATCTTCTTTATAAATAGGTAAAGTTAGGTTTAGTTAAAAGCTTACAAACCACTTCAAAATCAGAAAAATTCTACTTACTGTATTTCTTTCCAAATGTACCTATAATAGTTTTATCCTAAAATACAGTGTTCTGATTTCCCCTCCTTGATGATCAGAAATAAAAATCATTAGAAATATTTTTAGAATATCTGCACCTTGATTCTTATGTTTGCATACTTAATATATGGATACAAGGTAAATTTGTACCAAATAAAGAAAAATAGTATCTCGGGTATAAGAGGTTCCACTATTAGTTGTTTTTAAATTATATAGTTTTCATGGATAATCTATGTTAGAGAAAAAATCCTAAAATAATTACATTTTCATGTCAATGTAGAATGCATAAATAGGCCAGTCTATGAAATTGAAGAGAAGACAATGCTTATGTGCATAATGACTTAAGTGAGATTTAAGACTTATTTGAAGGAACTTGAAGGAACTGCCATTGAAATTGGGAAATAAATTAAGTCTTCACAAACTACATAGAAGGGTATATTTGCCTCTAAATCCTAGAGGGAAATCACCAAAATGCCCATTATTCTTGTTTCTTAGTTCCTCAGTTCTTCAAACTGTTAGTGAAAACTAGTGAAAATATAATAGGGCAAAAATTAAGAAATATAAGGATATTTCCTTTGGGTTTCAGAGTTTGATCTTAAAATTGTTGAGTAACAGGGTTCATTTTGATGACTACATACATCTTTTTTATAATTCTTGACTGATATTCTGTGTGCCCTGCAGGGCCGTAGTGGGTTTTGGACACCATAAGTAAAGAAGACCCTCAATAAATAGAACCCTGTCATGACTGCTTTTCTGGATATTTTTTCTTTGAGCATTTGGTTCATGATTAAAATTTTAAATTTGGTTTGTCTTGTGTGTTTAAGCTCTTTGACTTTGATCTTGAAGTAAAACCAATGTTAGAAGTTCTGGTGGGAAAGACCATTGAGCAGGCACTTCTGGAAGTAATGGAAGAAGAAGAGTTGGCTAACCTGCGGGCCAGCCAGCATGCATATGAGGAGTTACGCAGTGTTGAATTAGCTGAAGTTCAGCGACTTGAAGAGCAAGAGAGACGGCACAGAGAAGAAAAGGTATAGCATTCTAATTTTTTCCTTAGTCTTCGGCTATTTAACAGATAATGTTCTGAATCACATGTGGTCTGTCATAGAGCTAAAGATCTTTGCAAATACGTTAGAAAAGAGTTTGTTGCTCAGTTATCTCCTCTTCTGTAGATCACAAGTCTTTCATGCACAGAATCACATTCTTTAAACACCAGCTTCCATAAATGTACCTAAACAGAGTTTCCAAAAGTTTCTAAATGTAATAAATTACATATGTCCCAAATGAAAGGCACTCTTAAATAACAAGATTCCTAGCGAAGGAAATATATTGGTTTGCCATACATCCGTGGCCAAAAAGTGGAAGGGAAAAGTGGAGTAGATTGGGGATAGGTGGCGTGAAGGAGCGGAGGATCCGGATAGAATTCTGGATCTTTTTCTCAGTGGCCAGGCCCTTCCCTGTACCCCAGGGATTCTCCAGAACTTCTTTATAAAATATTTTACATTACAGGTTTTTAGAACTTGTAGTAAGAAAACTTTTAGAATCTAGTTTTTAAAATATGCCAATAACATTCAGTTAGGAAACTCTAGGCTCAATAATCTTTAAGAGTCTGTCTGGTTCTGGCAAAAATTGTTGCCCTATGTTGGACACTGAATGGATAAATTATATAGGAGTGCCTGAATACCTAAAAGAGTTCAAATAATTTCCCAAAAAGTCTAGTTTACTGCACAGAATAGCTTAGTTGTTGGGATATTCTACTCAATACCTAATCAAATGGACTTTCAGTTTTTCTCCAAAATGAATAATTAATTGTGTAAAGGGCATAGGGCTTATGGTAGAGATTATGCAAATGCCAGACATTTTTTTACAAATGTGAAATGAATAGAGGCAAAATTAGCTTTGTTGAAATAATCAGGGAAATCTTTATCAAAGGAAACTTACTTGTTTATTTACTATTAGGAAATATACTATGAAAATAATGAATACAAACATCTAGATATTTATTTGCTTAAACTTTGAAAATAGACTTCATAAGAAACTATACTAATGCTCCCACTTCCACATGGGAGTAGAGGAGATGGTTCATTAGCTTTATAGATATCCTATGGTCTACAAGAAGCAACAACAACAAAAGAGAGGTTTATAATTTTCAGAGCTCAATGAATTCAAAGAAGCTTACAAATGAGACAACTCACTGACAGTTCTTTAACTGAAGATGTCTGAGCAACTATAATTTTCATATTGATAATAATTTCTGGTAATACTAATTACAAATACATATAACTATTATTATTCTTTGATATTATCCATATAGTCAAACAAGTACATCCTCAAATGATTTTACTTAAAAATGGATCAGGAGATGAATCTTACCTTAAGCTCCATCTCTTTTTTTAAAACAATATCCACCCAGAAGCTGTTGAAATTCACTAAAATCTTGATGAAAACTATGAACCATGAATAGATTCCTTGCTGTCCATTTTTTGATACAAATACATGTCCAGATTCTTCCATTCACTAGGTCGGGCATTTGGGGAGGACGTTGCAGCTAAGTAACCCGGCGCGGCGGTGTTTTCTGTGCGCAGGAGCGGCGTAAGCAGCAGCAGTGGGAGGTGGTCTACAAGCACAAGGAGACCTCGCAGAAAGTGGCCGCTCGGGCGTTCGCGCAGCGCTACCTGGCGGACCTCCTCCCATCCGTGTTTGGCAGTCTCAGGGACGGTGGCTACTTCTACGATCCCATTGAAAGAGGTTCGTTCGTGGAGGTGTTGCTAGATCCCTGCTACAAGAAGCATCCTCCTAATGCTTCCAAGGAATCCCATGCCCATGTTTATGTTGAATTGGAATCTCTCTTTAAAACACATTTTTAAAGTCAATTATAGTTGTTTTAAGTAAGTACTATTATTAATGAGAGGTATACTATAAAGATCGTGAGTTTAGAATGTCAGTTTGTCTTTACTAAGAAGCAACATTGTATAGTAGGAAGAAATATGGACTTGATGTCAAAAACTTGAGTTTGGGTCCCAGTTTCATCATCAATCAGCTATATGACCTTCAATTTCCTCACAGGTGAAATGAGGGTTATTTAGGAGCTAAATGTCATAATATCTATGGAACATAATATGTATAAAAAAGGTGCATAAGTAGTTTTTCTACTTTTTCTCAGCTGACTTCCTGTTCCACTCAAAAACCCTTGGGGGGCAGCAATGAAAGTCGTGTATTCATTTAATTAGGTGTTTCCACCATCCCGGGCACTGTATTAGGTGTGGGAGATAAAACGAGGAGAACTGGTCTCTGCCTTTAGTGAGCTCACACCTGTCAGCTCTGGGTGCGCACCTGCCGGGACCCACCCCTCAGCTGGCCCAGCCAAGTGAAGGGTAAGGGTTGCCATTCCTCAGCCTCCTTCCTCAGCTCCAAAAGCACTTAAATCCACATTGCTTTTGTGTACATATCCTTTTTCAAATGGCTAATAGTATTGTGGGGCAGAGTTTAGTAATGTTAATTTTCACTGAATACATATTCAATTCAGGACACATACATAGAGATCAGGTTACACACAACTACTAGTTTACATTTATATTGTACTTTACCATTTATGTAGTATTTTCCATACACGATAACATTTGACCCTCCCAGTAACCCGGGGGCGGAGGGGGGCAGGTAGACAGGGCAGATTAATTACCATTTTTCAGAAGTAGAAACTGAAGCTCAGAGAAGTGAAATGCCTTCTCCCAAACAACCAGGGGAAGCCGTTAGGCCTCGGACTCTGACCCCAGATCCAGTGATCCTTCCACGCTGCCCTGCCACACCGCTGGGGTCTAGCTAGACCTCTGCTGTTAGTCACAGAGGCTAGCAACATTTTTTTCTCTCATGAATTGCTGAAAAAGTCAGTTATGGATCATTTAGAAGCTTGAAAATGAGATTCATGCCTCAGATTAAAAATATTATTCCTAGTAGTGAGTATAATATCCTATTACACTCTTTCGTCACCCCATTGAAAAGTAACAGATGCCAGCCCCCCTAAAAAGCTATTTTGAAACGTTAAACTACGTATTGTAATGGACTGTATTTTTTAAAGGCTCACACAGTAGAGTAGATTTCCATTTCAGTTTGAATAAATTTATCACTAATAGAAGCACCTAGTTTCTGACCCATTTCTAGATGGCCTTCTCAGACCCTCTCTGGCCCTTGTCCCCTGATTCAGCTTCTCCTAGGCCCCAGGCTTCCGATGGGGGCATTCTTTTTATCAGCATGGTTCAATCCCAGATTTGTATCACATGTGGATTAGAGTTCTGCTCCCAGACGCACATCTTCCTCCCCACTCCCCTACCCTACCTCCTTCATCCACGTCAGATTGCACCCGTGCACTTAGCTCCAAGGAAGACTTCCTGGACTTCAAGGAAGACCGCATAGTTTTGAAAATACTATTTTAACCACAATAGAAAGGAAATGGACCAGAACATGCATAGAGAATGTGGCAAAAGTCATGCTGTATAAGTCCATTTGACATTTTGTATTAAGAAAACAGGGTTGATGAATCTTCAATAGTTAGGGAGAAAGCACAGATTCTTCCCAACTGTCATGATTCATAAAAATCATTATAATGATTGAATTTCACTATAACAAAATTAACTTTTTTTTTATTACAGATATTGAGATAGGATTCCTTCCATGGCTAATGAATGAAGTTGACAAAACCATGGAATACAGTATGGTGGGAAGGACAGTCCTTGATAGTAAGCTCTTTTATTTTATTTAAAAGTCACTTCTGGAAGCCCCTGGGTGGCTCAGGCAGTTAAGCATCCGACTCTTAATATCAGCTCAGGTCATGATCTCAGGGTCATGAGATCGAACCCGCATCAGGCTGTGTGCTAGGCATGGAGGCTGCTTAAGATTCTCTCTCCCTCTCCCTCCACCCCCTACCCTCGCACTCACGAGTGTGCTTGCACTCTCTTTCTCTCCCTTAAAAAAAAAAAAAAAAAAAAATCATTTCTGGGGCACCTGGCCAGCTCAGTTGGTAGAGCATATGACTCTTGATCTTGGGGTTGTAAGTTCGAGCCCCACATTGGATATAGAGACTACTTAAAAAAATAAAATCTTTTTTTAAATAAAATATTTTGAAAAAAAAAGTCATTTCTGAAATTTTTCAGCAGAAAGAATAAATAGAAGAAAGATGTTAAATTTTATGGTTTTAGTTTTTAAAGTTTCATTATCTCAGTTAACAAAGGCACAAATTTTTACCCTCAATAATATCTTTGGTTCTTTTGTAATTTGATCAGAACTAATATCTTCTGTCATTACTTTATAAATGATATTCTGTTAAAACAGGCATTGACTATAATTCATATTCAATGCATTAAGTGGCACAGAAGTTAAATGTGCTGACTTTGTATAAAAGTAACACAGGGAAGGGCTGAGGCCTGCCTATGCTCATCTGTAAGTCAGCATTATAACTACTCAAATATGAACAATCACAGTGATTTTTGCACATATAATGTTTCAGTGTTGATCCGTGAGGTGGTTGAGAAGAGACTGTCTATGTACAAGCATAAGGAGGACCAGCCCCCATATGTGAAGCCCGAGGATGGCCTCGGTGGCCCTGGGGCGATGGGAGAACCACTGATGGATGATGAATTCCATGAACAAAGTACATCACAGCCACAGAGGCCCCTTTCGGACAGAGACTCCCTGCAAAGAACACCAAGCGATGGAAAGTATATGGAGAACGTGTCATCCCAAGAAAGGAAGCTTCTGGAAGGAGAGGATAAACAAACAATAAGGAAAACCTCAGGGAGAGAACTATTGCAACCAGGCGGAGCCTTCGAGCCATGACACCACTCAGCGGCCAGTCAGCATTGCGAGCAATCAGGTAACAATGCGCAGGTCCCCTCAGGTTATGGAAATTATGTTGTATTTACCCAACATGTCTTTTTGTCTCATGGACTGGGCAAATCAAATATGTTGAAATAATAAAACTAATTAAAAATGAAATTTAATTCGTTTATTTAATGGTAGAATATCTAGAAGCTATGTTGTAACCTAATGAGAATCATGTCTAATTACCAGCTTCCCATTACCATGAATATAACTAACAAATATATTTTTCCTTAATTTTTCTAACTTTGTGGGGTTTTTTCTTTTTTAGTATCATATTTAACGTTAGATATCAGTGCTGTCAGCCATTGAGACTGTCTGCTCTATAGGAAAACTATTTTACCTACTCCATGAAAGAACACCTAAATGTCGTGCCACCGAAAGCTTTAGTGCTCCCTCCTTGCAAGGACCAACACATGTACCCTTAGTTGTGTAATACTAAATAGATCGTTACCCCTTCCATCTTCAATATCCACGTAAGGCTCAAGAGATTCTATGAATTGGGGCGCCTAGGTGGCTCAGTCGTTAGGCGTCTGCCTTCGGCTCAGGTCATGATCCCAGGGTCCTGGGATCGAGCCCCACATCGGGCTCCCTGCTCAGCAGGAAGCTTGCTTCTCCCTCTCCCACTCCCCCTGCTTGTGTTCCTGCTCTCGCTGTCTCTCTCTCTCTGTCAAATAAATAAATAAAATCTTTAAAAAGAGAGAGAGAGATTCTATGAACTGGTAATATGCTCTTGTCTATTTTTTCACATTCCTGCTATTAAAACATTTCAAACAATACCAATAAGGCAAAAGTCCCTACTTGCCCTTAGGCAATTCCATTCTCCTCCTCAATGATAATCACTGTTATCATTGCTATAATTAGGTATGTACTTTCTAGGCCTTTTTCAAGATATTCATATACATATATATTTGAACATCAGAAAATATGTGGGTTTATTTTTCTTTATATAAATATAAATATATAGTTTGCATTTTTCACCTAACGGTATAATCTTAGACCTTAAACATTAGTCCATATAAATCTCTTTTTAAAATACGGTAAGTTATTCTATATTATGACCGTGTTATAGGGAATTCACATGTGACTTTTTTTTAAGGTTCTATTTATTTATTTGACAGAGAGAGACACAGAGAGAGAGGGAACACAAGCAGGGGGAGTGGGAGAGGGAGAAGCAGGCTTCCCGCTGAGCAGGGAGCCCGATGTGGGGCTCGATCCCAGGACCCCGGGATCATGACCTGAGCCAAACGCAGATGCTTAACGACTGAGCCACCCAGGCGCCCCCACATGTGACTTTTTAACCTGAACTTGTCTGAAAAGTTTACCTGTGCTATTAAAAATCACAGATCTTTTATCTCTAAAGTCATATTAATCTTAAGCAATCATTGAAGTCCTCTGAAGCTGTAGGTAGATATAGCCTATTTTTCTCAGAATAATTGTAGATTTATAAGCTGTAGTGATTTGAAATAACTTGCAGTTATTAACACATTTATCTTAATTTCTTTTTAAGTTAGGTACCAAAAATGTATCCACATTTTAAAAATGGAGAAAGAACTTCTTCCTCCATTTTTAAAAAGAAACACACAGTGTGTCTATAAAGCATTATATGGTTCTCAAACCATTTTCCCGTATATTATACCACTTTATCATTTTAACCTCATAGCAACCCTTCTGAGATATGCATGACAATATTTTTATTTTCATTTGCAACCAATCTTGTTAGGTCAGCCAGCAAACGTTAACTGCATGCCTGCCGTGTGCTGGGTGCCATGTGGGAGGCCAGCACTGTGCATACCAGCCTAGTGGTGGAGCTAAATGAAGTAAGGTATAAATGAGGAAACAGCAGCTCAGGGATTTTAAGTGATTTGCCGTAAGTCACAAGCCTAGTAAGTAATGGGATGAAAGCTGGGACCCAAATCTTCTTCCTTCTAATCCACTGTACTTTCTTGTAAACAGCCTTGAGCCCTTGTGAAGTACCAAGAATAACTTTCAATAAATTATTGCATTAGTAGCATTTTAAAAATTGGAATCATACCTGTTACCATTGCTAGGTTATTCCATGTTGTTAAGTCTTTACGAGCATCCTAAAATATAGAAGATTTTAATTTTGGCAAGAAGAGCAAGACATTTTTTTTAATTGGGGTCACCGTGAATCATTATTGTTATTGATTTTAAAATACCTACAATTTTAAAATGCTTTCAAAATGGATTAGAGGTTGATTATCTTCTGCAATTCTAATCCTCTAATACAGTAGCCAATCCATTAAACACTTAACAGATGTTCCGCTCAACATCCAGACCTGTGTTCTATAATTCCGTGAATTAATTCAATTTATTAAATATATGAAAATCTGTAGACCCCACACTGAAATTGGTTAAGCTTAACTGCCATCCTATTCAATGCTAGAGAGAAACAGGAATGATTAAGAGGTTAGGTCTGTGGACGCCTAGGTGGCACAGTCAATTAAACACCTGAATCTTGGTTTCGGCTAAGGTCACGATTTCAGGCTCTTGAGATGGAGCCCCAGGTCTGGCTCCCCACTTAGTGGGGGAGTCTGCTTCAGATTCTCTCTCTCCCTCTGCCCCTGCCACTCGTGCTCTTTCTCTCTCTCTGTCTCAAAAATAAGTTAATAAATCTTAAAAAAAAAAAAAAGTAGAGGTTAGGTCACTGTCTCTGTGAGAAAACTTAGAGAAACAGGTTATGTATTATCCGGAGAAAAAATATTGAATGGAAACTTTAAATTGGCTTTGCCTACATTTGCTAATACTGTTTTTATGAGTTCTGTTCCTTTCCATTGTTTCTAACACTAAGCTAATAGAAGCTAAATAGTAATAAAATGCATGTTATGTAATAAATTTATAGAGACTGCCAGTCCTGATAGTGATAAATTCCCGTATCACTAAAATAGGTCAGGGAAATCAAAGTAATTTTCTCCAGTATAGGCATCATCGCGTGCAAACCATTCTGACTTCTGTTTTGCTGAGGGATATTGGCACAGCCTGGAAAGTCACTCAGAGCAGCTCAGGGTGGTGCCTAGAAGCTCAGACAACAGAGCCAAGCCACCTGGGCTTGCTTTCTCCACGCATAAGGTGGTTTGCTTTTGTAATTAGGAAAAAAAAAATGGCTAGGGATGCCTGGGTGGCTCAGTCGGTTAAGCGTCTGCCTTCAGCTCAGGTCATGATCTCAGGGTCCTGGGACTGAGTCCCACATCAGGCTCCCTGCTCAGCAGGGAGTCTGCTTCTCCCTCTCCCACTCCCCCTGCTTGTGTTCCTTCTCTCTCTCTCTCTGATAGATAAATAAATAAATATTTTTTAAAAAAGAAAAAACTGGCTTATCAGTCATGTTTTATTTTTGAAATGTGGGAGGGTGGAAGACCTGCAGAAGGAAAAAGTATTTGGAGGTTATAAATCCTTTGAAAGTTTTAATGGGGAAGGAGCAAGTGACATTTTCATATCATATCAAAATGTTATGGTACCATAACCATCAAAATGTTAATGAGACATTCTTCTATCCTAGAAGACTTTCATTTTTTTATCATGTTGTTAAACGTATCAACCACAACAGCTACATTTTTTTTATCTGTAATCTTAATATTCTTATGTTTCACTTACTATGAAAAACTTGGCACATTATGCTTTTCTATTTTGTTTACAGGTGAATTACAGAAAATTTTTATATATATATTCTATAGCTCAATAGCCGTAGCCATGTATCTCAATTTATTTAGCATAAAGGCATTCTGGAGAGGCCCAAACAGGGGTTTAATTTCCCCACAGACCAATTAGCACCTGTTGTTTCATAGCAGTAGTTCCCAGATTTAACCAGAACCAACCTTCTCCTGGCTTGTCAAGAATGTTACAAATCAGGTGTCACTACAGTGAAAAATACTGTTAATGATATTGGATTGGTGCCTATAATTCTCCCTTTGAATAGGAGGATATTTACCTTTGCGGTTTAGTGATAATGAACTTTAATTAATTTGTAACTAAAATTTAGTACATTTATAGTTTAGATCATGTTTTGTGTTTTTAATAAATCATGAAAATAGTATAAATGAAATATATAGTTAGAAGAGACAGTAATGACACTATAAGTTTGCTTATAAATAAAATCTATGAAGATACTAAAGAGTTTGAAACTCCAGGATAAAAATATCTTGAAGATAACATTTAAACAATTTTAAATATTTTTTGAGAAGACAGTTCAAAGCATGAATAAATTTTTATCACTATATGCATTTATAATTTTTGTAAATATTAAGCATTTTTATTTGTGCTACTTATGTATTGTGCTCTGACATTTTAGATTTTATTAATATCCATATTTACCACTAGGTGTCAGTAAAACTCCAAGGTAAAGTTAACTTGCCTCCACCTTTGCACATGATAACTACAAAGAGATAGACGTTGGGAGACAAAGAGCTCAAAAATACATTGTATTCCTTGGAGACTCTAGGTTCACACTGAATATTTTATCTTGCCCTAAACTCATCTGCCAGCTCTGTAGGGATGCCAGTGGACTCCAACCTGTATCTCAGACCCTGAAAATGGTAGTTTTAGAATGGACCTTAGCTGTCCTATACCCCAGTCTTCTATCCAATACAGTACGTTTGACAGACGATCATTTAGTCCTGGTTTAATCACTAAGGATGGGGCTTTCACTTTATGAGCAGCTCTAGAATAGTGATTCTATCTCATTTAATTTTGTCTCCCCAGGCCCAGGCTGTGGTAAATAAATGCTTACTCAATTACATTATTGGATAGTTCTCATTTTTAGAAATTTATCTTCTACTGGGTCAGAATCTGTCCCATTATAGCCTATGCTTTTTTGTCATAATCATGCCAGTTGACATGAGTATGATGCAGGGAAACAGAATAATTTTATTGTCATCTCAGCCCTATCCTACACTCCAGTAAGTTTTTCCTTTCTTCCAAGTTTTTCTTTCTCAGAGTGAAATATCACCACTCTTCCCAATTATTCCTCATATGGCATAGTTTCAGAGCTTCCTCACCCTCCATCCTGGTTACTGTTACCTCGAAACTCCTCTATTTGTTCAACATCATCTTAAACACCAGAATTACCTATTCTACTAGAGATGTAATCTGACTCAGCAGGG